CAATCATGATTTTAGAGACAGGTTATTAGCTTTTGCCGAAAGTCAAGTTAAGTGCTTATGTGCTTAACTGTGCACTTCTGCTGGAGCACTAATTTTGAGAATACTTGATGGGGTATGGGGTTCCTGTAGTTTTTGCCTTGTTATTATCTTCTTAACGGTGAAATAAGGTGCCAAAAGACAAAAAAACCTGTGTTACATCTGGTGGTACTGAGTCGGATAAGTTTTTGACATGACATCAGTCTTTTTGAACATTCTTCCTTAATCTTTATTTTGTTGATACTTAGCAATTTGATATTTGAATGAGATGGCAGAGAAAAAAGCAGATATTTTCCTAAAGCATACAAGATCTTGATACTTTAAAAAGTTAATAATGCATGATGGGCACCAAAAGAAGGAATATATCCTTTGCAATCTTCTTTTAACTTTTAAATAATTTAGCATAGTGATCAAGCATTTTACCAAATGTTTTGAATTAATCTACATATTATTTTAGTATTTTCATTTTATGTAACTGATTTCAGTTATTTGACCTACTGTTAGATGAAAAAAAAAACAGAAAAAGAATATATTCTTCCTTATTTCACCACTTGCAGTCTTGTCTTGCAGAAAACAAGAGGCTTCTTCACTTGCTGCTAATTGAGAATCCAAAAGTAAAATTGAATTGAAAATTAGGAAATTCTATGAAAACTTTGAAAAGGTTTGGAAATGCTATGGGGAATCTCTCTCTCTCCCTTCCTTCTGTTTAAACAATTTTAAAGAACATTAGTACCAATAGTACAAAATTTTTCTCTATACGTGGCTACTCTCTTGAAATTTGTTCCTAACGCCAATTAATACAGAGCGAAAGGTAATAAGTTTCACAGTGTGGGCTCTACAAGATACATTAGTATCTTATCTTGTACTGAAAAACTAAAGACTGTTGCAAAATTCATATTATCTAAATCATGCAGGCTAAGCCAACAAGAAGTTGTCCACTCAAGGCAATAATCAAGCACTACCACCCTCTATGGATTCATGTCATGTCATTAATATTTTTGAGAAAAATGGATTCATATCATACCTTAATTGTATGACTAAATGTTAAATTTCATATAGCATCTAGTGCAAACTAGGGTGACAACTACATTTGGAGTTATCAACTTTACAGCTGTTGTGTTTCCATTTGGGTACTCATATATCAATTCTATGGTTCATGTTTCCTCTTCTCTTTCTTTCTTTATTCAACAGAGTTATAGTAACATATGCTTGTACAATTTCAAAGAGTTTTGACATTACATCCTTTATCATATTTCCTTGTAATATTATTATCTATCATAGGTTAAATTTACTAAAAAAAGTATAACTCAGATAGTTCTATAGTTTCAAACAAATATGATGTTAAGTAGATGGGGAACATGTAATGACAGGACTAACATACTTTATACAAATGGCATGCATTATGCATCTTTTCTAACAGTTAATGATTAGAAGACATGAATATTTGGTCTTGCAGGTTTACTGTATACTTACTCCACAGGGCTGAAGCAGCACCTGTATGTGAATCAACCAGATCTAATAAAGGAATTGAATCATTGCATCACTTTGGTTCTGGGTAAGCCTGGTTACTTAACAAACAAACTTGCACCTATGCTTGGCAATGGCGTTTTGAGAGCCAATGGTAACAGTTGGGCACAGCAGAGGAAACTTGTTGCAGCTGAATTCTTCATGGACAAAGTTAAGGTATATATAAATTTTTAATTATCAGTCCATACCTTAACCACTACCCCTTGCTATTTACTCTTTTAGTTCTTTTTTTTTTTCAGTTTATATTTTCAGCTAAAAGATATAATAATTGTTCAAATTGGTTCTTACAAAAGTATATGATATATCAATTCCTAGGAAACGTTGATTATTTAGCTATTATAGATGTAAGATGCTTTAGTTTCTAATTCATCTTAATTAATATATTTACGATTAAATTTTAAGTCACAAAGATTTTTGTCAAAGATTAAATTGATAGACATGTCACCTTTTATGAATCAATCATTTGTTAGGACTAAAATATCCCTCTTCTGTAATTTTGAGGAGACTTGGAAAAAGTATTTATAAGAGAGTATGTATCATTTCTTATATTTATAGTTTAGTAAATGTTGGTAAGACAGTGTTCATTACTATGTATTGCAGGGTATGGTGGACTCAATGATAGAGTCAACGCAGCCATTACTACTGAAATGGGAGCAAATTATTGAGAGCCAAGGAGGGGCCACAGCTGAAATTAAAGTGGATAAAGATCTCATAGGTTTATCAGCTGATGTTATTTCAAGGGTTTCATTTGGCCATTCTTATTATTCTAAGGGAAAGGAAGTCTTCTCCAAGCTTAGAAGAATACAGAAGGCCCTGACCAAGGATACTGGCTTCCTTTTTGGCATCAGTTTTCGGTATGCCAATCTTGTATCTAAAACGGATAAAATTTGTTTTAATTCACTCAATGATTTGGTTCTTGTATTTCTAAAATGTGGTAGATACTGTTCTTTTGTCATGTTAAAATGAACTGTACAAGGTTATGCATTTCAAACAAGGGAAACCTACCTTTTTTATAAAGTTAGAACTAAAATCAGTTTTAACCAAAATTTGAGAACTAACAGGCATATGTTACCCTTTAGAATTCAACTATCTTACAGTACAATTCTTCATACACGTATATATGCAGAATTTTAAGAGTGACACTTATACCAAAAAGCATCATAGATTGTGTGGGATACAAATATTAGATTACTGATTATTTTTATCTAAAATCTATGCATAATCTTAAGTGTGTCTTAAAAGCTTTATAGATTCACGTCACAAGTTAGTATAATTGTGGCCTAAAAGCTTATTGATTATTAATTAATGGCAGTGAGAAACTGAATTTCTGGTCAAATAAGAAAAATGAGATAGCGAATTTGGAGAAAGAGATAGAGTCACTGATATGGGAGTTAGTGGAGGAACGCAAGAAAGAATGCTCAGAGGCATCCTCCTCATCACAGAAGGATTTGATGCAGTTACTGTTGGAAGCAGCCACGAGTGATCAGAGTCTGGGGAAGGACTTTTCCAAAAGCTTCATTGTGGATAACTGCAAAAACATTTACTTTGCTGGCCATGAAACCACTTATGTAGCAGCCTCCTGGTGTTTGATGCTTCTTGGTTTGCACACAGATTGGCAGACTCGTATAAGGGCTGAGGTGGCTGAACATTGCCCCAATGGTATACCAAATGCAGATTCTCTCCCTCAGTTGAAAACGGTATGCTGTTTGGTTTTGAGAAATCATTAATTAGTCTTGCATGTCGTTATCTTATGAAACTGCTCTCCATATTTGTACATATAATTTCTTTGAGCTCTTTTTGTCTAAAAGTCAAGGATTAATTTTTACAATAATTGAAATTAAGGGGTTGATTTCTCTCATTAGATATCTATTCTTTTACATAAACTGTGGTCAAATTGTTAATCACATTTCTTTGTGGTTGATGGCTGCTAACAGCTGGGTATGGTGATTCAAGAAACGCTACGTTTATACCCACCAGCATCCTTTGTGTCAAGGGAGGCATATGAAGATATCCAAATTGGACACCTGAATGTTCCTAAGGGTGCTTATCTGTGGACTCTGATCCCAACCCTACACAGAGATCCTGAAGTATGGGGACCAGATGCTAATGAGTTTAAACCAGAAAGGTTCAGTGAGGGAGTGTCCAAGGCTTGCAAGTTTCCAAGTTCTTATGCGCCATTTGGGTTGGGTACTCGCTTGTGCTTAGGAAAGAACTTTGCACTGGTTGAATTGAAGGTTGTGCTAGCCCTTATCATCTCCAGGTTTAGCTTCACTCTGTCTCCTAATTATAGGCACTCTCCAAAATATATAATGATTGTGGAACCAGAACATGGTATTGATCTTATCATGCAGAAGATCTGACAGACTGAGAGACGATCACAGCAATAAACAACTCTGGTGAACTTGCAAGCATGTGTTTTCTTTTCATAAATCAGTGTTTACCCACAAAACTATTGCTTAGGTTACACTAGAGTTTCTTCTGAATTTAATAATTTTCTTTAAGATGTTTATGTATTTCCTTCTATCAGTAGTGATCATGCATCAATTTCTGGATATCCAATGTCTTTTACAAATCACAAGATGTGAAGGAAAAAATATCCATCTTTTCACCAACTATAATTGTTCTCTACCTATTTTAAAATGGTATGATTATCATTGTTCACACAGTAAAATATTAGAAAAATAATTAATCTTGAATTGTACCTATTCTTTTATCTGTTGATTTTTTTCATTTTAAGAAATTTATCTTACCTAGAAAACACTCTAATGTGGGGACAATTGTCATTATAAAGTTTTTGTTAGAAAGCAAGAATTTTAAGAACCTCACTTTTATAATTTTATTTTGTTTACATCTCAATTCAACTATAACCTTTTATATCATAAAAAAAATATCCTTTTGTTTTTATGATCAAAAGTTTTTCTCAAAATCTTAAGTTAAGATTTTACATCAACATGCTTTAATGAAGTTATTTTTTTTATAAAATCTAAATCTTTCATGCTTGAAATATATATTTAACTAAATTGTAACAACAGTGACATTCATGTGTAAGATAAAGGAAAATCTAAATAATTCCATTACCATTTTATATATTTTATATATAATGAAAGAGAGCAAGAAATAAAATGATTAATTGAATAAATTCAAATTATGTTTATTGAAAATTGAAAGTGTTTTATAATAGAAAATAATTGAACAAAAAGATTTTAACATATTAAGTTAATTATATTACAATTTTAAAACTATTTCACTTAAAGGTAAAGAGCAAGAAGTTATCTGTATAAAAATGAAGTTAAAAAATATTAACAAAATTAAAGAAAACAATGAGTAAAAGTTATATTATGTTTCCTCATAAAACTCAGTACGCATGTACAAGAAATTAACTTAAAAAAATAGAATTAATTTAAAACAAAATAAAAGAATTAATTAAATAGAGAAGAAATTAAAGATTGGTGTGGTGGAAATCAGAGGAGCAGATTCAGTTTCATTATCTCATTTCAATCTTGTAGCATTGTCCAAGCACAGATAATAGAAATGGCGGCAATGGGAGTTGCAGCACAAACGCAGTTACAGTTAGAGAAACGTGTGTTAGAGGGTTTCACTTCGAGATCCATGGAATTGAAATGGGTTAGTCGAAGAAGCAGCAAAAGCTCACAGCTTGAGAAGACGAAGAAGCAGTTGAGACCGCTTTTCCCAATTTACATTTCCACCGACCCACGCCACGTCGATCCTCTCCGTCTCCGGGACCTCTTCACCGATTGCAACTACTCTACCCAAAGATTTCCGACCCGACCCGGACCTGATCCCGTGGACATCCACAAGCTCCGCATTGCTCTGTCTCACAGCGCCGTGGTTCTGTCCGTCTTCTGCAACCTCCGCCACGTAAACGGCGTGGTTCCATATCAAGACAATTTATCGTCTTCTTTAATGGCGGATTTCTTCACGCCGGTTTCTCCTTCACGTGATCAATTGGTCGGGTTTGGCCGTGCCGTTTCCGATTATGGCCTCACCGCTTCGATTTACGATGTCGTGGTAATAAAGAAAAAAGAGAAAGTGATTAAACGCTTGTTCCTCGTTAGTGAAGTGTATTGGTTAACATGCGTTTATGACCGTGGTTGAGTCTATTGCAGGTTATGCCTTCCTTGCAGAGAATGGGAATTGGTCGGATGATAGTTAAAAAAATTGCCAGGTATGCAGCACGGCACTTGTTGATGAGACCAGATCCTTCACCATGAAGTTATTGTCATTTTTAAGTGTTGGTAGCATAGCATTTTCTCTACGTACAGGCTAAGATGCACTTGCTTTGCTTTTGGGAGAAGTTGGTTCTCACTTAAATATAAACAAACTTAATACTGTTATCTGCATTCAATTTTGTCTTGTTCATATAGAAGAGAACAATATTTTCTAAACTGATTGTAATTATATTTGTTTGAATTAGTATCACAGTACTTACATTTGAAATAACTTTAGGGAATTTTCGGAATAAGTACATTTAAGTAGGTTGGATTAGTTGAAACTTAAATATAGAGCAACAAATTTGGATGTTTGTCATTCCATGATGACTTAATTTAATTTTTGTAGGTTCCACAATCCTATACCATTTTTAATATCTTTTTGCAACTTTTACTTTTATACAGTGACTTTTATATGATCCACATTCTAATTAATGTTTTATTTGGTTGTTAACAAAAAACTTATGTTTCTAAGATAGAAAAATAATTTTTTATACTATGATTCAGTATTTTGTTTAAGGTCTTATGAGACTTAGTATTAAGTTAATGATCTTGTGTATGACCCTCGAACAGAGATGTCCTTGTATTAAAGCATTGAGAAAATACATAGTATAGGTTAACATTAGATGTTAGTACAAATTATTAGGTAAAGCTCTGCTAGTGATTGAAAAGAATATAAAAAGAGGGGTGATGGCATAAGTCGTTATCCTTCTCCTTTTTCTTGGTAATAGACCTGGTAGCATGATGGTCCTCTATTTTTTTTTGTTCAATGTAGATAGAGACATAAATCATCAAGTGCCTGAAAATGGCTTCCTCCTTTTGCAGAGTGCTTGCAAATAGAGACATATACGACATAGCAGCCCTTTGCTCAGAGAATGAAAGGTTGTTCATTGCTCTTTAGAGTTTCTAATGTTATTCCTCTGTGGATAGCACATCACGCTTTCAACTTTTTTCAGGTTATTTTTTAAGGCGTGTGGATTTGGGGACGACATTTTGAACTCCACTACCATGATGTACAGAAGAACTGTTCCATTAATAACCCAGGAAGGTAAATAAGCAGTTACTTGCACAGGGCGAAAGCTATTGTTGATTCCACCTCTTATTGAGGGACCCAATGGCACTTCAAAAAATATAGTGTAAAGGGCCAAACTCCATTGTATATAAAACAGGGAGAAAATGAAAGATTGTTCTCTGATTAGTTAGAGAAGAAGCTTGACATTACCATTCTATTACGTCCTTCATTCTATATGTAAATTCAACTTATAAATCGGTAAAGTTTGTAATTGCAAGAATAGCCCCCCCTATGTTCTCAGTGTAAACGTGGGAAAAGTTGTGGCTTCTTGGAAAGAACACATTTTTAATTTAGATCTGTGTCTTCGCTTCAAACTATTAAAACTTTTCTTTCTCGAACCAAATAAAAATATTCTTTGTAAAAGACTAAAATGGTGTGACAAATGAAGAAAATTTGATAACTGATTTGAGAGACTAAATCTATAAAATAAATCCGTAGAGAGCTTTTCTCCAGGGGTTTGTACTCTATGGCCAATTTCTCTGTCGTGCTAAGACCTTTTCCCTCTGCATAACCCATCTGATTGTAGCAGATTCCTATTTGCCTGTATTATACTTAGCAAGGGGGAGAACTTGGGAGAACTGTTAGGAACTAGGCATGAGGGTATCCCCAAACAGAGTTTTGGTATAACAAAAATTCAGATATCGAGGTAAGGCATCATTTGAAATACCGCAAAAGACGTTCACTTCATTTCCTGCGAAACCCTTATCTAAGGAGGCTTACAGTAGACAACATCGCTTCAACTTCTCGTCCTTCAATTCCTGGACTTTCCATGGGGATAATATGGGTGGAGGTTTGCTTGATATCTGCACATGGACTCCAGCATTCAACCTCACTTTGGAAGCGTCAATGGTTTGCTGTTGGGTGGATCGATATTAACAGCAAATATTGCACCAAGGTTGTTGATTCAGGGAGTGCAAATCCTGTGTGGAGAACCAAGTTTGCCATTCCAGTTGAGGACTCAGCACCAAATCTCCTGGATTTGGTACTGAACGTGGAAGTTTACAGTACAGACCCCATATTCTTCACGGAAAAGCTTCATGGCTCAGCAACAGTTTTTCTCAGAGAGTTTCTTGTCAAGCATGTAAAGAATTCTGAGGTATCCAATCCCAAGCAGCAGGGAGTTGGAAGCTACCAATTACGAAAGAAGAAATCTAGCAAACCAAGAGGTTTCATCGATATTTTAATTTGTATTTCTAAGGAAAATAATGAGCCAAATCCCCACTCAGGTGTGTGATCATTTCATATTTGACAACCTAACGTGGTAGCTGCTCTTCTACATTTACCATGTTATTTTGTTTCACATCTTTCCGAAAGCTCTTATTTTAATTTATTTATAATGCGTTGCCTAGTTTGAGAGGAAGTTATGTTTGGAAAATTCTTGGCATTATCTGGTGCTGTAAATTTGTTCTGTAGGAAACAAGGATGGAATTTTGCTCTTAGATAATGGAGATAGTACCCAATTCAACATAGAGGGAGGAGTAAGGCAAGCATACCGTCGGAAACCTCAAGCATCAATCCATCAGCCAGAAGATCATGTACATACAAACGTCCCAGACTACCATTCAGAACCATTCACCACTACAAACTATTATAATCCATATCTGGGTGAAGCAAGCTACCATGAGATGGGTGAACCAAGCTACCATGAGACAGGAGAAACGAGTTACCAAGAGGTGGGTGAACCAAGCTACCATGAGGCAACTGGACCAAGCTATCTGCTGCCTAGAACAATTACTCCTCCACCGCCCCCACCATCAAATGTTGGTTATATTCCCACCTTTCTCCCAATAAATGATGGCTTGTCTCCAAGCTACACAGAGATGTCAACAGCCAGGGCAGTCCTTGGTAAGAGGGTAAATGCAGGAGGTGCAATGGGGTTAGGTGCTGGAGCACTAGCTGCTGGTGCTGTAATATTTGGTGATGACTTCATGTCAGGATTTGATGTTCCTTCGGACCTAGAAATGGATCCTCCTTTCTGAACAAGATTTGATCAGCTTTAAGTAATTATATTTGGCTGCACATAGCCTTCTGGCAAACCCTTTATGGTCATTGTATACGGTCTCCACTTCCACATTCTTACGTGTTCTTCTGTTAGAGAAATGGCGTGTTTCATTTACAGGGCAGAAAGATCAAGTTATTTGTTACTTTGTAACTAGCAATATTTTCTTTCAGTGACAACTTTTCTTTTAGTATCTTAATATCAAAATAATAGATCAGGATCTGCGCAAGATCCTATTTTATTGCATGTAAAAATAACCATTAAATTAAAGAAAAGAGCGCAAATCAATAAATTGTACCGTTAGATCATGAACTGTACTGTCTGAAGTTAGCCACATCCCAAAATCAAATACATAAATTAAATACCACTTGTTAATCGTATGTCCTTTTACATCCCCGAGACATTTATGCTAGGGTTGAATAGCCAATAATTTGAACGGAGACACAGATCATTCATTCTGGCTGGTAAACATAGGGAGGATTTGCACTATAGCAATCTACCGGTAATATAACAACATTGCGTTTGATAAATTTAATGAGTGTGCATCAATATGCCTTCAGTGAATCTTTGTCAATCTGATCAAACTGCATTTGCACCAGCCTATACAATATCAATCTTCTATGCAGAAAAAAATTGGGATGCTTGAGTAGTAGGAATTTCAAATTGCTTGTTGTAGACATTGTTCGTTTGAATCACTGACTAAATTTCTTAGGAAGTTTTCAACAATTGAAATGAATTCCTCCACTTTTTCTTCATGGGGAAGATGGCCACATTGCTTAATTAATTTGAATGATGCTCCTGGTATGACTCGTGAAAGTCTCTCAGCATTCCACGAAGGGACTAGTCGGTCAGTATCGCCAGTTACAATCAGAACTGTTTATTTAAACAACCATCATCAATTATGCTAAAGATTCAACTAATCTATCAAAAGGGTTCAGATTGCTACTGGAAAGAGTTGTATCATTTGATATGAACTCAGGAACAAGAACACAGAAATCCAATGAAATAAAAAGTAACTATAAAACAAATCAATAAATCAAAACGTGCTGATTGATTTTCTCAGTTTATTAAAAAATGCATATTGCCATTCTAGGATGTCTTCCATCTCTCATAGTTTACTATCTATTAGTAGTAAAAGCTAGCAAGTGCAGGATAAAAAAGCAAATGAAAGTGGCTATACGTAGGATTAATGACATTACCAGGACATGATATTTCGTGAAGTCTTTTAGAAAGTGGTGTCTTTGTTTTATATTCCTCATCTAGAAGCATTGCTGCAGTGTATTCCACCAATGCCCTATCCCAATCCTTAGTCCTTAAAGGCTGTATTTATTGATAACATCCAGGTGAGAACTAACCATTCGAGTAGGACAGAACAAAAAGGAAAAAAATAGGAAAATAGGAAATCACATGAAATTACCCTTGTATAACCACCAAGTACATGCTCAGAGACCTGCTTTGGGTCATACCATGCACTTCGAACAGCAGCAGTACCAAACTTATCAATTGCCATTCTTACCTGAGATTCATGTGAAGAAAAGGACCATCAGTCCAACAAGTACAACTCATCACAAATTATTGACCATGTCAGTTTAAGAATTGGAGTCTAAACAAATTCAGAAGCCAAAATATGAAAAAGAGTCATAAATCAACAAACAATCTAACCATATTTTACTTGTGTAGCTTACTATCTGTTCATCAAATTTCCATTTCAACCTATGAATTATTAAAACCAAAATTGGAGAAAAGGAATTGTATGGAATAACAACAAATGTTTTTCACTAATTCAGTGTAGTTGCATTTGAGCCAACAATTCCTTGTCAATATTTATTTTCCAAAAATGATTGAACCGAGAAGGTTGAGATAACACAATTGAATATTGGTACTGCATTACAATGAACAAGTTTATTACCAGCATTATTGCTAGGGAAGAACGAAGGATAGCTGATAAAAATTTCCTATACAACGAGTTGAGAATATCTACTGTCCACTTCATCATTTGTGTTATTGCTTCTGCAATATACTTGGTAATCTTGGACAGCATCTCGTAAAGTACCAAAATTGGATTTTTTGTGATTGAACTGTCTTCTTTCCTTTGGTTATCATTCCTTGATTGATTTTCTTTTACAATTTTTGGTGCAGTAAGTGGAGCAAATATTGCTGGGGCAACTAGTATCAGAGCAGCAACACGCTCAGGAGCTTCAAAATATGTATTAACTGCTACAAGTGAACCAGCTGAGTGCCTGGCATGTCATTTTGGAGACATCTCATCTTCTAGAAAGGATTAATGTGCATAGGCATACGAAAATATATTTCTTTACATTGTTATTAATCCATTGCCAGATATACAGCATTAAAATATGCATTCAACGGCCAGATAGGTTAAGATGAAGAACATGTATTACAATATCAGGAGAAATATAAGTAATTTTATTTTTCCTACAGGAGGCATTCATGTATTAATTTCTGAATCCTTACACTATGACTTCATAATGGTGAAAAAGAAAAGTTGACCAATTTAAAATACATGATTTGAAAAACGAAATTAGATTAATGCAGCAATTCATAAATGAAAGATAATCAGATGCATATCCATATGCAGGGATGCAACTTATAATCTCCCCTTTATCTGTCATGTTATAAATAGAGTGGAAGTATGCTTTACTTGCGTTGCTGAAAACTGCTTGATGCCTCAGAAAAACAAAGCCACTAGGTAAAACAGAAGAAAGAATATTCACATACCCCATTAAAATCACTTTCTCAGCATTTAGCAATTTAATGAAATGCAGGGTAGCAAGCACGGAAAATGCCATTGAGTATGCATTCAGAGGTTTTGTGTCTTCCGTTTCTGAAGAAGGATGCTTAGACAAATTTACCCTTGATGTCAATCCAAAGGCTGGCCTATCAAAAGCAAGAACTTTTGAACCAGCAACCTCTGCCAAAGGCTTCATAACTGGTTTCCATGAAAAAACTGAAGCTCCAAACCCATGTAACAGGATCATTGGATAACCTAGCTTCTTGATTTGATGAGAAACAGTGTGACTCTGGAGCATGCTTTGTGGTTGGGATTCAGCATCACATATCTTGTGGTGTATATGCACTCCATTGAACTCACAAAAACAACTGTCTGGATCAGCTAAAAGCTTTGGATCCACTAATTCCCCCTGATCTATGCCTGCAATCATTTTCTTTTTCTTTTCTGCTCCCACATCCACCAACTGCTCTGCAGATATGGGGTTCAACATTAAGCACACATGTAAGTAACCTAGCAACAATAACGACTTTTCTCCAATTAAAAAAAACAAAATTCCCAAATGAAAAATTGCATCCATTTTTTCTGTCTCTCTTTCCTAGTATGTCGTAGTAACCAAACCAGAATGAAACTATAGAAAACGAGAGAACTTATGTAGGTTTTTTCTCCGATAATTCATTTATATTTCCTCCCATCAAATAAAGAGAGAAAGGGAAGCAATAGCAATTCACGGACTACAAACGAGCATTAACTAACATAAAAGAAAAATGGAAAACAGAAATGAAGACATGGTAAAGTTGAAGATAAACTATACCGGAATATTCAGCTCCTGAACCGCTCAGTGATGGAGCTGAAGAAGCAGAAACAACGAATCGTTTGTTCTGAGTAGCATAGTTCGGAGATATTAGAGAAGAAGTGTGCTTGTGTGTATATAAAAAGGTAGAACTTTTGCCATGAGATATATAGAGAGTAGGAGAAGGGGTAAGAAAACTCAGTTTCCCACAAAATAGCATTACCCTCATCGTCTCACTCCAATATCTTCAACCTCTGTCAGCTTTTCTTAAAGTTGGATCGAGTTTCAGCTTTATGGTTTTCAAACGGATAGAATACAACTACCAGCAGTACTAAAATAAGTAAAGAACAGTGCACTTAAACCACTAAGGTTTTAACCACAAACATTCTTAAATTACAGATATTTTAGGGAAAGTGATCGAGATATATGATTGGTTTAATATCTGTTTTGTTCACTCGATTTGAAGAGTTTGTTTGTTCTCTTTTTTTCCAAAAGTTCACTAACATCCTATTTTTTAAAAAAACGGTGTACATTAGTCCTTTTTGCTTAATGTCTTAGAAAGATTAACGGCAGAGTTGCTTACTTGGCGAAACTGAATTAGCTTTACAGTTTATTACTAAGTGGCCTTCTCGGTTTTTCCCTCTTTCGCTATTCTCTCCTCCCTTCGCCGCTGCACACCATCTCCCTCCTCTTCGCCAAACCCTAACACCACCCCTCCATCATCTACGCCAAATGCAAACCCTCCTATGACATCGACACATTCTTCTTTGACAACGTCAACCCATTAGAAGACATGGACTTCAACCCATCGGAGCCCCCGGAGGGATTTTTCGCCCCTCCCTGCAAGGTATTTTTAAATTGTTTGTTTGTTTTGAGTGCGGGAAGGGCGGAGATATGGGGCGCGGCGCAGTAGCGGAGAGAGCGGAGGCGTACGGGGCGACGATGATCTTGGTTTACGACAACCGTGAAACACTGAGATTGGAAGATAGTGAGGTTTTTTATCCCAGTAAAACAAAATTGAATATAAACATAAATAAAAGTACGTTAAATTATCTCTGAAGCAATGTGCAATTAGGGATTAGGGTTTGGGAAGATGGAAAAATGGGATTAGGGTTTGGTGCGTGACTATGGGTTTCACAGCGGAGAAAAAGGAATCAGAGAACAACAACGCCAATAATCCCAAAAATGCTCATCAAACATTAAATTCTTCTTCTCAGTTAACGTCGACACTTGATTCAAGCAGCAAAGAAACCGAAAAACAACAATCTCATGAACTCAAAGCTGGTCTTCACCCTCTGAAGGTTTTTCTCCCTCACTTTTTTTTTGTTTCTTGGCAACTGAATTACAGTATGATTAGTTAATGATGAGGATGAAGAAGTGTGATAAAACTTTTGAGTGGAAAGAGGATTGCTACGTGACACTCTCTTATTGACTGAACTTGCCAACTAATTGGATAGGTCATCTAATTTTGGCCAGCAAAGCAACTTTGCCGTTAGTATTTTAACGCCGTAAGTAAAAAGGATCCACTTAAACTGTTTTTGCAAAAAGTAGAATGTCACTGAAGTTAAAAAAAAAGAAGACAATTTTAAAATAGATATTAAACCTATATGATTTCTTTATCACTTAGTTCTTTTTCAGAGTCAATATCATGCACTTATAAATAGATACATGTGATAATGTATCGTCTTTTATAATAGGAATCCCCTTGTTTTCTGATTTTTGGGATGATTACATCTGTTTCTGAGATGTTGATCTCTGATTAAATTATAGCATGACGTTTAAATAATAAAAAGCTACTTTTTTATTTTTTATTTACTTCAATTATGAAATAGAAGGGAGAGTTTGTAACTGTGTAATTCTCGACCCAATTCTTTTCCTTGTTTAGGTTCGTAGCTTTTACCTGAAATATTTCTCTGGTAAATCAAAGACAACAGAGAGAAATGGAGGCACTATTGTGCAGAAAACTGGGTGATCCAACGGTGAGTTTGGAAGACAACGATAGCTCAATAGTTTTGTCAAAGAATCACCCAATTCCCCAACTCGATTCTCCCACCGCTGTAAGAGTCAGAATAAAAGCCACAAGCTTGAACTTCGCCAATTACCTGCAGATTTTGGGTAAGTATCAAGAGAAACCCTCTTTGCCCTTCATCCCAGGCTCCGATTTTTCCGGTTACGTCGACGCCGTTGGCCCCAAAGTTTCGAACTTCCGAGTCGGGGACCCCGTTTGTTCCTTCGCCGGACTCGGCTCATTCGCTCAGTTCATCGTCGTGGACGAGTCCCAGTTGTGAGATTCCGCTCCTACTACCTTTTAATGTTGGGTTTTGGAGTTTTATAGTGTAAAGTTGTTGGTTTTGAAGGTTTCGGGTGCCCCAAGGTTGCGATCTTGTTGCTGCTGGAGCACTTGCTGTGGCTTTTGGCACTTCTCATGTAGCACTCGTCCACAGGGCCCAATTGGCCTCTGGTCAAGTATATATGCTATGCTTTGAATTTGATTCACTTGTTGCTGTGTATGTATAATACTTATTGTTCTGTCTCTTTGTGCTTAAATGAGTCATGGAACTGTGTTGCAGGTGTTGTTGGTTTTGGGTGCAGCTGGAGGTGTGGGCCTTGCTGCTGTGCAAATTGGAAAAGCTTGTGGGGCCATTGTCATTGCTGTGGCTAGGTAGTAACTTTTGTTTTCTACTTTTTGATATATGGACTGCATATGGTGGTGCAATGGCATGATGGCTAAGGTCCTTATTTGATATCGACGAGAGAATTAGGATGGATAGAAATAGAAAAGACGACTAAAAGTTGCTAGAAATGAAGTGTAGATTATAAATATGAAGAATTGGTTGAATAAAATCATGATCAAACACATTACTTCTGTGTGCGATTATTTCTTGTTCTTCCTCTAAGTACCTTCAATTGTCTAGCACTTGTAGTTTTCTCTATTATCAATTCTGTTTGTGGTAGAAGCTCTACAGGGAATTTGTGTGGTGAACGTAAAATTCAGTCATCACGACATCTACAAAGTATGAGGTTGAAAATTGACTGGTCTGAATGGCTTTGGCTTTGGGTAGATGCTCTGTAGTGAATTTATGAGCTAATTCCATAGCAATAGGTGTTAGAATGATGTAGATATGGTAATGGATGATATTAGAATCACGTAATGTGATTGAGTTATTAACCTAAAATAGGATAATGAATATTTTGTAATTATGTTGTCTCCGTTATAGATTGAATAGCTTTGTTGTGGTCTAAACACCAAATTCATGGTATGTCTTCTACGTTTCTTTCTTCTTAACATGGTATTAAGATCCTCACGAGAAGGGAACCCTAATCATACTTCTGGGTCACTACTCATGTTGCATCTATCTGAAAGGAAGGTAGGGAATTTGAACTACCTTACTGTTATCTACCCGGATATCTCAAATGACATGCAAGTGTAGTAAGTGAGTTCCTTAACTCTCCATTTAAGGAACATCATGATGCGGTAATAGGATATAATATGATGGGTTATAATGGGTAATAGGTGTGTAGGAGAGAGAAAAGAGTTTAGGAATTAATCGTTCAGTGTAGGAATTAATTGTTCAGTTTTGGAATTAATTGTTGTTGGGTAGTTAGAAGTGGGTTGCCTTTATAAGAAGGCAAGGGGGGTCTGGTAGAGAGGAGAGTTTTGGGATATTGATCGTAGACAGGTTCATTAGACCTGTGAAGGGGATTATGCCCCTGGATTGTGATTGTATAGACAATTTCTTACTGTGAATAATACAAATTCATTTCATTCTTTCGTATCTACTGTTTTGAGAGAGTGTGAGGGAGTTCTTGGCTAGGTTTCTCGTTTAGAAACCTAACAAATTGATCCGACCTGCCGGATCCGCTTAGGAGAGGCCTGCAGGATATTCTTAGGAGAGGAGTGTTGGATCTTTGGGAGAGAAGCATGATGGAAGGAAGAGACAATACCTTGGAGAGGAGGACCAGCGAATCGAAAATGAGCATGGCAGAATGGAGAAGAAATATGCAAAAATGGAGAAGAAATATGCAAGAAATGAGAGAAATGCTGCAAGAAATCAAGATTCACATAAAGGGCTTAGAAAGAAATGAGAAATTTGTCATGAAAGGACAGAAAGAGAGTTCAGAAGAAGAGTTGGAAGAAGACAGGGGTGAACAGAATTGGAGGCAGCGGGTAGAATTGCCCAGGTTTGAGGGGCTGGACCCGTTGGGATGGATCTCTCAGGTTGAGAAGTTTTTTGACACCCAAAATGTCACAGAGAAGAAGAGGCTCAGGTTGGCTTACAGCTGCATGGAGGGAGGCACAATTTATTGGTTTAGGGCTTGGAAAAATAAAACCAAGAACCTTTCTTGGAAAGGGCTGAAAGAGGTATTGATAAGGGGGTTCGGAGAAAGAGATAGAGGCTTTGTTTTTGAGAAGTTAGCCCAAACTGCAGGAGTTACAAAAGCTGCTGCTGAGAAAGTTGCAGAAGTTTCTGCTGCAAGGGCGGATAGGGTGGCAAAGGTTGGTAGGGAAATACATCAGGTGAAGATCATGATGGGAAGGTTGTGACTCTTGTTTCTCCAAGTAAAGTTGCAAAAGTTGTTGTTGGTAGTGGAGATAGAGTGGTAGGTTGTGGTGGGAATGTCAAAACAATAAAGAAAGGGGAAGAATTGTTGAGGCCTGGGGTTAAAACAGTGGTGTCAAAGAGCAACCCAGTGGAGTCTGTTTGCAGGGCAAGAGAGGACCTGCTGCAAGATATCAAGAAAGGAAAGGAGAAAATTCAAGCAATTGGGAGCACAAAGAAGAGGATGCCATTGACAATAATGGAGCTAGGAAGGGTGAGGAGACACCAGTTTTTTTGCGAGTGAAAAGACAAGAGTTGACCACTTATGAAGGGATTGACACCAAAGATCAAACAACAGGGCAGCCAATGCTTCTGCAGTTCAAAACACCAAAGGAGCAACAAAAGCACACCCAAACAACAAAGAAAATGTAGTCCAGGGGTGCAAGACTTGGCATCAAAAATCCAAGAACCTTTCTTGGAAAAATCTGGCGACAATTCTACTAAAGATAGTTGAAGGGAACAAAAGAAGCATTCTATGTGAGAGTTGGGCAGCAATAACACAGATGGGGAGTGTGGAAATTTTTCATGAGAGTTTGCAAGTGGATGGAGCAGCTGCCAAAAGTGTTGTTGCTACAAGAGCCGATAAAGTCAGAGTTGAGATTTTGAGGACTTCACAAAATTGGGCTATCTGCTGTTTTTGAGAAGTTAGGTTTTTGAACGAGAAACCTAGCCAAGAACTCCCTCACACTCTCTCAAAACAGTAGATAGGAAAGAATGAAATGAATCTGTATTATTCACAGTAAAAAATTGTCTATACAATCACAATCCAGGGGCATAATCCCCTTCACAGGTCTAATGAATCTGTCTACAATCAATATCCCAAAACTCTCCTCTCTACTAGACCTCCCTGACCTTCTTATAGAGGCAACCCACTTCTAACTACCCAACAACAATTAATTCCTAAACTGAACAATTAATTCCTAAACTGTTTTCTCTATCCTACACACCTATTACTCATTATAACCTATCATATTATATCCTATCATATTATATCCTATCATGCGGTGACTTGTATTGTTCGATACATCAAACGAGCTCTGTCTTTTGTTTGAAGCCAAAGGATATACTCAAATTGTGGAGTATTCCAATGAAGATTGGGTGGGCTTCCCCACCGATGGAAGATCCACATTTGAGTTTTGCATATTTGTCAGAGCTGACCTTGTTTCTTTGGAAAGAAAGGAGAAAAAAATTGTAGTCAGTCAAGTGTGAAGGTAGAGTATTGGGCTATGGATGTGGCAGTCATGTTTATATGACCCAAACAAGTGTTTCAAGAACTAATGTTTGGGGAGATTACACACTTATCAATTATATGTTGATAATCAGGTTGCCATAGATATTGCCTCAGATCTAGTATTCCATGAAAAGATGAAGAATATTGTAGTTGATTCTCACTTTGTCAGGAGAGAAAGTCATGTTCGGGGAAATATCTGCTACCTCTGTCAGTTCTCATGATCAACTGGTATATATATTTTCTAAGTCACTAAGGGGTCCTCAAATAAACTACATGTGTAACAAGCTTGGTACATATAACTTATATGCTTCAGCTTGAGAAAGAGTGATAAAATTTTGTAGATAGGCTAGAATCAGTCGATGCTATTAGCATCTATTATATTGATTTTATATTTATGTTGTCAGCTTAGAATAGAATAACTGAATGCCTGTATTTATGTGGTCAAAATACAAAAAATTCATTGTATGCCTTATTGATTTCTCTCTTCTCAACAAAGGTATCAGGGAAAGAAAAACAATGAAGAGATGAAGAGAGAAAGATATTAGTAGAAATAGATGATAAATTGTACAATAAATTCCATTATTTTTAAAATTATTTTCACTTTATTTTTCATCCTCCAAACCGTCCAGCTTGTTTCTAATCACCTTTCCTCTAATTCTCACCTACAAAATATACCTTAAATGTGTCTTTGGATGAATCTTTGTAGCACTGATTCAGAATAAATTAATTCTGTTCCTGTTTGGTTAAGCATTGGAGATCCACACTTGTCCCAGAATTTATGTCAAAAAGTCAATCTTAAAGACAAGAAATAGAACCAAGGGATCCACATCTGAACATGCTTGATGGGAATCCGAACACACTAGTTGGTTAAAATTGATTTTGAAGTGAAAGGCGTCTATGTTTGGATGTGTCTAGTCTAAAAAGAAGTTAGTCGTAAATCTAGTGTAAAAATGCCTTATCAAAGCAAAGTTCCTTAAAATCAAGATCAATTTTGGACTTAGAATCAATTTTTTCACGCAGGGATCAAACATACGAATATTTAACTAGAATCATATTAGCTGATATTTATTGTGATTTCGGATGATCAAACATTTAATAGTTATCCTTATCTACTAGTGAGTTGAGTCTTTTTTGTTTTGTGGTCTGTTATCAGGGGAGCTGAAAAGGTGCAACTTTTGAAATCTCTTGGTGTTGATCATGTGGTGGACTTGGGTAGTGAAAATGTAACAGAGAGTGTGAAGAAGTTCCTTCAGACTAGAAGGCTTAAGGGGGTTGATGTCCTGTATGACCCGGTTGGAGGTAAACTCACTAAAGAATCTTTGCGGCTTCTAAAATGGGGAGCTAACATTCTCATAATTGGGTTTGCAAGTGGTGAAGTTCCTGTCATCCCTGTTAACGTAGCTCTTGTTAAGGTACGGTGAAAATTAAGTTTCAGACCATGAATTTGTCTTGTCTAACCTAATTTACTTGATCACTAAATTGTGTAATGCTTTGTTGTTTCATCTGGTCATGATTTATTCACATGAACTTTAAATTTGTAATCACACTGCAATACACAAATTTGAAATTTGAATTTAATCACATTGTACTTGACAATTGGCTGCCACATTCATTTAAATTCAATCTCTTATTTCCACTTTTTGTTGTTGTTATGAATGCTGCTTGTTTTTAGCAAACCAAAAGGCATCCCAACTTGGGTTCTCAAATAAATGGCCCAATTACATGCACTAGACCATTACATAAATACAATTTGTGCATTACTCGTAGTTCTCTGCTTCCTAGTGATTTAATAATCTTTTAGTTAGCTTGCAAATACCTTGATCACCATTATCATCATGTAGCATAATTTTATATATATATATATATATATATATATATATATATTATTTGCATGTATAATGAGAATGCTCCATCTGGCTTGGTATGTCGCCCAATATTGGGCACTGATTGAGTCTCCCCACCTCCTTTTTGATGGGGAAAAATATTACTATTAAATTCAAGAAATTGGCTGTTATACTTTATAGTATAACCCTAACAATATATATATATATATATATATATATATATATATATATATATTATATGATATGTGTATTGTCATAATTTTGAAACTCAACCAGATTGACCAGTCCCACTTGCTAGGAATTGACCTGGTGGCTGGTTCGTTGACTCAAAAAGACTGGACATTTTCATAATCAGTTAAACTGGCCCAAAACCAATTTGAACTTCAAGACAATTTTTTTTAATTTTTAAAATATAATCTATAATATCTTTAAGATGAATAAAGATACAGTTAATGTACAGTTGTACTATACTAAAGTTGATTAAATCACTACCACACTCTTTATGGCTGCCTTATCCAACGAAAATACACTCTTTAAGGCGGAAAATACTATATATATACCAACATCAAACTGAACTAGTAAGAACTTTGGATCTTTATACTTATTCCTTGGGTTTTGCTTCCTACATTGCATATTTACATTAATTCTGCAGTAGATGGTATAAATTGTTGGTTATGATTGCTTTTATTTAAAATTATTATACCAGAATTGGACGGTGCATGGCCTTTACTGGGGTAGCTATAAGATACACCGCCCAGGTGTTCTTGAAGATTCTGTGAAGGAGCTACTCTCTTGGTTGGCAAGAGGCCTGATTTCCATCCATATTTCTCACTCATATCCCCCGTCAGAGGTCAGCAATTTCTTTGTCAAAACATTTCTACTAATTTGTGTCTCTTTCATTTTTCTCTAATTCTTTAAACATTCCGAGACTTTATTTTAAAGGGATTTTACTACTGTTGTAACCGAGGGAAGTATTTTTCTTTTTAGATATTTCACTTTTACTATACTTAAAATCACCATGTTAGGTGGCCATATTCAGTCAAAGGTGAATTCAGTTTAACCTTCGTAATGGAGTGGCAATGGTTGTCATCTGTCCATCACCATTGTGGTTTGAGCGCTGGCTTAATGCTTACCCTTTCTCACTGAAGTTGTTGTATTGTCATTTAGTATAATTATTCAAAAAGAGACTTAGTCACTGGGGTCATTTAGTTTAAGGTTAAGTCTATAAAAAGCATGGAGCATTGAACTATCTTTTAATTAGTTTTGGTGCCTTTTTCTCTATTATTCACTATGTTTTAGTTTAGATTTGATTAACGTGCTAATTGGGTGATTATGCAACACAAATTACAGTCATTGCTTCACAATTAAATCATTTCCATACGTTGGTTGAGTTTATCAGTTATATGTATTTTCATGGGAAAGGTATACATGTTTACAAATCTGTATCATTTTCCTATTTACATCTCTGTGCTTCAAGACTTTCAATGCAATCTGTTGTAAACAATTGCTTATCTTTGCAGGCCAACTTTGCCTTTTCTGCCATGAAAGATAGGAAAGTTATTGGGAAGGTGATGATTGTTTTCGATGAGAAACATACAAGATCTAAGCTGTGACCTTACCAAAATTATGCTATATTGTTGAATGTTCTGGGAACGCAAGGTTTGAAGGTTTAAAGCAATCAAGATATGCTAGTACAAGTAAACAAACTAAAAGGAGCAATAATTGCCAAAATTTTGTGCAAAAAATATTACCTTGAAGCCCCCACATTATTATGTAAAATCTTTACTTTAGTGCTACTTACTTGAAATTTTCTGTACAATGTTTCAAAGCGGTTTACTTATTGATAAATAGAGATTTTAGTTCTATGATACAGAAACTTAGGTATTACCGGTTCTTTTATTCGTTTTATGCTGTAATTGGTTCGTCTTGCAAAATTTGTCTAGTAATCACTCTCTATGCATCTCATTATCTTGTGATGTCTGCCATATCCTACTAATTTGTATATAATTTGCATATAATAATAGCATGGTGATGGTAAGATTTTAGTAACCTGATCAAACCTCAAAATCCTAAAGATTCAAGATTCCTTTTTTATCTTACACGGGCCAACACAACTCTTATGAATCGCTCTTTTAGAGATTACAAGCTATGGTGGCAACTGATTTTGGAACATCATCTAGTTGATTTACTGAAAAAAATGGTATTATGTTACTTTTTTATCCATATACTTAAATATTTGTTTGTGGGAATTTAAACTTACAATCTATTCCTCTTAGTCTTTTGTTTTTACCACCAAGTAAACTTCTATTTATTAAATTATAGTTGAAGTGAAGATTGTTTATACAAGAGATAATTACTCTATTATTTTTACCACCAAATCAACCTTTATGTACTAAATTGAGTTATAGTTGAAGGGAAAATATACATACAAGAGATAATTACTTAAGCAACAGTCTTTAACCAAAGAAATAAATTATCAGAGGAACACCTCAAGATTGAACTACAGAAAAATAAAATCGTTAGAGATAACGTGTTATAAAGAATTAAAAAAATTAACCTGCCACAGTGAAAACCAAATAAATCATGAAAAGAAAGTTATAACTCTAATGAATTGCATAATTAGATATGAGGCTCCTGGATTATGAAAAATGTGGTTCTCTAGTTTTGGAAAGACCAATAAAGCAACTACTTCTTTCCCCACCATAGAAGATTTATCTTTTCCCCCTATTTTAATCTATTTTAAACTATTTTAATCCTTAATGTTTAAACTTAAGACAATAAATAAAAAATTATATGAACGAGGATTAAATAGGATGATTTTTAAGTGTAAAAACTGAAAATTAAAGTATGTTTAACTATAAAAACTAAATAAATGATTTAACCTAATCATGTTACTTTGATACTGTACAAAAGGAATGACAGTAGAAGTTCAGTTTCTGTGTAAGTTTTCTCAGACCTAAAAGGAATGATAGAAGTTTTCAGTTTCTGTGTATGTTTTCTCAGACCTAATCCGAGTAAATGGAATACAACTGAGGAGTTCCAAGCACAACCTGAGCTGATACACGTGATGTGAATGTAATGTACCCACGTAATATGACAATATATCACAACACAAGATGCACTCCACTCCACTATGATATAAAAGAGATATCCAGCAAGTGATTTATTTGTGATGCAGCTGCTGCTTGGTATTTCTCCTTTTCAATCTAATTTGTTCCTCAAAATATACAAGGTATTCAACAATGTATCTCGAGATCCTCCAATACCGGGGAATCATTTTCACAGATGATGTGAACAGTTTATTGTTTGGTGCTGGAACATATTTACAGCGCTTGAGGAGAGTTGTTGATGCTTGACAAAGATGTTGAGAAACTAGTTGTTTATCGCTTATTTTAGGAAACGAACATACTCCTTCTGCATCATCTCTCCCCCATGAACTATATCAAAGCTGCATCTGTAGAAACTGATATCAAAGAACACAATAGGGAAAAGGTTGAGTGAAGTCAACAAGAATGAAAAGAACTGAATAAAGCTGATGTCAAAGAAAACAATAAAGCGATCAGGGGTTGTAAGGTTGACAAGCATGATGAAAACTAAGTTCCTATAAGTGATCTTGACGAGGCTATTACATATCTCTTTTTTTAGGCAAATGAAATCAACCTCTGCATGAGCGTATGCGGAAACAAATTATACAGAAACAATAATTGTACAGATGCAATTCCTGAAGCTTGCTATCAACTATTCAAGTAGAACTTTAAATATCTACTTTATGTTTTATCCTAGTCATATTTATACAATATGCACAAACACCAAAATAAGTTCACACGATTCAATGACAAGTTTATAAAATTTGCTTTCAACGAAAGTTATTCAATGATACAACTACATTTGTTACCTGGATCACCACTATATATTAAATTAGCCATTAATCTCAACAGCATGCATCACTAAGATATTATGTTTATCTTAACTTAATGAAAATTTTAATCAAACATCAACTACTCAATTTCAGAAAAAAAAAGGGCAGCCCACAAAATATACACATACCTCCCATTCATGCCTACAATTATGACATCGTTCTCAGATCCAAAAGCCACAATTAAATGGGTGCTCTGGGGCAAACGGAACTGTGCAAATGACCACTCTGAGCTAAAATATTTTGGTAAAAGTCCTACAATATCAAGGAAGAATCATAAGCACACAACAAATCATACGCAAAGAACATTGTGCAAAATATCCTGACTTAATAGAAAGGTTTCAGAACCATGAGCAGATTTACCGTCCCAAGATCCCATATCTTTAAAATAAAGATTATGAACATTGGTTTGAAAAGAGTTGATTTTTAAAAGGGTAACACCTAGTCAGCAACAGTTATATATGAACCAAAAAATGCATAACTAACTATCTGAGCCATTGATTACATCTAGCGTTCAGAAAATATATCCCCGAGCAAATCCAAAGAGAAATCTAATGGAGCTGAAGAAATTGGCATTTTGTGTTATAAAGGAATGAACAATCAGCAGAGGGCAAGAATGCACAGACACAACTGTTGAGGGTAGAGAGGGTGCTGATTCTTTTTAATCAATGTATTATCACGTTTGATACCTGGCACTTGTACAAAAATAGTAGACTTCAGATAGATTATTTGAACTGAATTGAATAAATCAGTCAAGATCTTCCATCTATATAAGTTTCTATTTAAAAATCAAACACACAATATAGCTCCCTGGATAACTATTCAAATGGATAAACTGAATAAAATGATTGCATCACTAAATTATGATGATTCCAAACGTTCACAGCATTATACTTAAGAAATTTATGTTACCTCTCATGAAAGAAAACGTAGAATTGGGGTTGGCGCCAGTATTTGTTGAAATCAAGGGATCCAAAGAAGTAGAAGAATTCTGATGAAACAGTGCAGGACCTTGAACAACATTTGGCTGAGTCAAAATATCCTCCCCAGACACTCTCACTCTCAAGCTGAATACATGAACAGTGCCTTTGTCACTTGATGCTGCCAACCACTGAACATTTGGAGAAAAGGCTATACTGTTGATTTCAGCTCTATCTGCACCTCTTCTTACCTACAAGAAAGAGTGAATGCATCATAGAGCATGAAAACAAAAGAGGAAATTTATTAAAACATTATCAAACCAATTCCTGCTGAAAACAATATATAACTTTTGGAATTTTTGTGGACAACCCAACACTATTATGGTGTAAAAGCTTTTTATAAGGACAGTAAAAAAGATTAACTATAAAACATACTAAAACATTATTAATGTAACAAGACATCCAATGTTGCAAAGGAGACTGGTATATCCTAGTCATATTTATGAAATATCAAATGGGAGTGTGCAAACAAAACAAAAAATTATTCACAATAGTACAGAAATGAAAAAGAAAAATCATTTTAAAATTCTCTTAAAAGGAAAGTATAAAACAGAACGTTAAACATAATAAATTAATAAAGATTTAACACAACAATACAATCCACACAATAATAACCTACTTCTTGTAATTGAGTTCCATCCATTGTATTGAAGATTCTAATTAAAGTGCCCGTTATACTAGCAGTTGCAAGAAGGAGTCCATCCAATGTCAGAGTGAAACATGCAATTTGAGAATCATGAGCACTGATTAATTTTGTCACGTTCAGTCCAAAGTGTTCAACTCGAACCTGTCCTTTGTTTAAACCTGGACAAACCAAAACAAATGTATTTGAATGGTGTGAAAGACAGCACAGCCCTCTAGGATTTGCCAGAGTCTCAATCTGATGAAGAAGCTTCAAATCTGTAAAGCTATAAACATATATCTTGTGTTCAAGAACAACTGCAATTCGATCACGTCTTAATTTCACTCCTCGAACTTCAGATCTAAATGTGAATTCACAAATGCTCCTACTCTGATAATCATCCCATATCAAAACTTTATTTGGTGGGTAGTGCGAATTAGCTACAGCACCAACAAGTGCTAGAATATTGCAGTGGAATAGCATCTCTACAATTTTAAAACCACCAACTTTCATATCACGTCTGAAAGTTTCTTTGCAAGGTTTACAATTATATATACGAAAACCATGATTTGTTCCAGCAGCAAAGCAATGATAGTCCTGATTCCATGTTATTGAGAGCAATTCTGTTTCATCATTTTCACTCATGTCTACAATAGGCTGGGTAAAAGAAGAAGAGGCCCCACTATTGGGAGATTCACTGTTTCCAATCCTTGAATTTGAAAACATTCCTTGAGTCGGTGAACCTGACAGCATTTGCTGCACTCAATAACCTCAATTATCCAAGGTATAGAAGGTGAAGTTCCACAAGGTGATTTCTGTTTTAACAGACAAGAAAAATTCATTGATATTACTTTAAATTAATTATTAATCAGAAAGTCTTACAGATTAAATACTAGGAAATGATAATTGTGGGAGAAAATTGAACTCATACTAACAGATTCAAATAAATATATTACAATTGTCTTCATACATTTTCTACAATAACTGAGTGTGTTAATGATGGTCCTTCAAACTAATTGATAATGAATACATAGGAAGGTACCGAAATCCATAAGATTGCAAAGAATTTACATCTTTTTTTAAGGCCAGCAAAAAAAGATTACCTACAAAAAAATGTATTGCAAGTATAGGAGCATCTCATTATTTAGATAAATAAATCAACAAAAACTGAGCTTTTACCTAAACAGCTAGATGCATCATTAACCCTAAAGACACCCTTTTCAATTAACAGCACAATACACTCTTCAAGTCAGATAAGAAGCAGAACCCTTCTGCAGTTCAGTCCATTCCGATCTCATTTTCTTGATACTATCACATATATTTAGCATTTAAACTCTAAACCTGATTACTTTGATCTCTATTTCATAACCTTTGTAAACTTCTGTACCTGAGATATATCCTATAGTTAGTCCTAAGTCCTATCCTGCAAGCTATCTGTTTTCGCGTTCCAGTTCCAACTACATCCAAGATTTTGATGTCCTTCAAAGTTCAAACAGACTAATCAGTCAAGTGTTATGAAAAAACAATTTTAAGGCAATTTATCTAATTAATATAGCAACCAAAATGTCCATCAAAAATTGATAACAGATTTATTTCTTATCATAATTTTATACTTCTCCAGAAATTGTTAAACCAGTTTAACAGTAATTGTTCAACCAAAAATGCTTATTGTAAATGCTTATCAATTAAATGTATCTAACTTTTACATCTTGTCAATGTTGCATGTAATGGTTTAATTCTGATTGGACAAAGAGGGAGTATCAGAGAAGCAATTACTGGAAAAACTTTGACCACGAAAGACAGTAAATTCAAACTCTTTCCAGCAACAAACTTCACTTCACCGACTAATTGATAAAAAAGTTTCAATATTGAAAAGAAAGATGCAACCTTCACAAAAAACAAGCAAAATTTGGCAAAACTACATAAAAACAAAAATGGCGAATTAAGAAAGGAAGAGGTTTATTTGAGTTTGCGAAATCGAAAATGAAAATTGAAATTCCCAGTAGAGGGTGATAAAGAAAAAGGGCACCATAAAATCATCAAACCAAAACAATAATAAGAAAAAGAAAAAGAAAGAAAAGAAGAAGACGAAAGAAGAAAAACCTAAAATGCACAAAATTGCACCACATGTGTTAGAAAGAGCAAGAAAGTGGAGATCAGAATGGTGAAGGTGAAGCAAACGATTGTGTTCATAATTCAGAATCATACCTCTACGGACTTTTCCTTATTTGTTTGTAATTCTTTATTTTCAAGGTTGTATATAGGAGGATTTACTGGATCCATCCAAATTCATGTCTGTTTCTTTAACAGTATGAAATTTAAAATATAAATTATTAAAATAAACATGATTAAGAAATATGTAAAAACTTATTAAATGTAATTACTAATTTATAATTTATAAGGTGGATAAATTATTATTGTAAAATTAATTTGTAGGTCTTGAACTCTCTTTTTTCTAATTTTTTACTACATACAACTATTATTTTAATTGAGTGCATGAGATTTTATTTTATTTTTATTTTAGGTCCTACCTTATTTTGTTGATTTGTTCCAACTATAAAAGTTGAATTTGTTCTCTCAAAATTTATTAAAAGTATATATAATCAGTTATGATGTATCTAAAACGAGAAATAATAATATTATATAATAATAATTATATCTATAATAACATTATATACAGAATTTGCATATTAATTTATATATATATATATATATATATATATATAATATTACTATTTGTAAAATAAAAATAATAAAAATTAGATAAAACTACTTTCATATATATTTCAATAATACAATATAATATAAACTATTGACAATTTTTACTTACAAAATATTAATGATGGGAAAATGGGTTATGAGTCATCCGAATTTTTAGATGAATATCCGGGGGTGTTACTTCCTCCACCACCACATTTTCTCCCTCCACCTCCCCAATTCTATTACATATTTTTTGAATTACAAAACTAACCTTTTATAATTACAAAAATAACCTTTGTACTTTTTAATCCTAATTATTTACTTTAACCCTAAAATCTATCTTTCTACCCCATCTCACCCACCTCCCAACCTCTCATATTCTCACCCAAACTCCATCACATCCGTTTTTCATCTTCCATTTTTTCTTCATATCCGTTTTCTTCCTCCTTCATCGGTGTATACTAATAACAATAAAGATCCTCAAAAATACATTATTAAAATACATCAAAATATATTCAAAAATAATATATCAAAAAATATAAATTATATTATTTAAATATCTTCAAAATTAATATAAAAAAAAACTGTAAAATATAAACAGTATAATCTTTAAACGGATGTGAGCATCTGTTTAAAGATTATACGGTTTATATTTTAGGGTTTTATTACGCACCTTCACACCTCTGAACCTTTCACGCCTCTGAACCAGCACCTTGAAGCACCACCACACTTACGGCTGAAGATGAATTGCTTTCCCCACTTTCAATCTTACTAAACACAAAATCCACCACACTCTCACGTCACAATTCTATAAAAGAGAAGAAGAAGTGAAACATGAGAGACAACCCAAGGATAGTGGAACGTAAGAGACAACTTGAGAAAAATAATAAAGAGAAAGAAGGAAGAAGGATAAAGAGAATGAATGTCCACGTGAGATTTTAAATAATATTAACCCTAAAATTTTAATAAGGGTAAAATAGGAATGAAAAAATAAAGAAAAGGGNGAGCATCTGTTTAAAGATTATACGGTTTATATTTTAGGGTTTTATTACGCACCTTCACACCTCTGAACCTTTCACGCCTCTGAACCAGCACCTTGAAGCACCACCACACTTACGGCTGAAGATGAATTGCTTTCCCCACTTTCAATCTTACTAAACACAAAATCCACCACACTCTCACGTCACAATTCTATAAAAGAGAAGAAGAAGTGAAACATGAGAGACAACCCAAGGATAGTGGAACGTAAGAGACAACTTGAGAAAAATAATAAAGAGAAAGAAGGAAGAAGGATAAAGAGAATGAATGTCCACGTGAGATTTTAAATAATATTAACCCTAAAATTTTAATAAGGGTAAAATAGGAATGAAAAAATAAAGAAAAGGGTAAAAGGGGAATGGGGTGGTGGAGGAAGCAAATTGTGGTGGTAAAGGGAGTAACACCCATATCCAGCGAGTAGTGAGTAGTGAATCGAATATCGGGTACAATTTTATCTAGTGGGTCGAGTTACAGATAAACACTATCCATGTCTGACCCGACTCGTTGTCATATCTAAGACACGTCCTTCCTAAAAGGTGTTGGTAGAATTTTTAACTTGTTTAGATTTCGTCTATCTAATCTAACAAATTAATGAATTAAAGACCAGCCATCTAGCTTACTTTGTTTTTGGGTTCTTAAATTAAAAATTAACATAATTGAAAATATAAAATTTTTTATATTATATTTTTTTATAAATATATATATCACGATTTAAATCATTAACTGTTATAAATTAAGTTTCAATTCTTACTTATAATATACTAATTTAACATATAAATATAATAATTGTTTTAATTATTAATCAATTAAAAACAGAACAAATATTTATATGATTAAATATGTTTTTAAAATTTAATTGATATATATATATATATATATATATATAAACAAATTTTAAAAGTTAAAAAATTTGATAAATATGATGGGTGAGTTACAATTTCTAACTTGTTTTTTTATGTGTAGGTCAGTTTGGTCCGACTCATTTTTTGTGGGTTAATGATAACGGTTGAAATACCGTTATTTTTATACTTAATTTTGATAATAAAGCAACCGTTTTAACTTAGAAACTTGCTTTAACTCATGTTTTTGCTTTAGTTTTGTGAATAAGAGAGTTGAAGGTGAATTTAATGGTTTTGTGCTAGATTCCCTTGATTTTGTAGGTTATTGGAATGATTTGAAAGAAGAGTTAAAGTACTGAATGGTTGGAATGCAGAAAAGTCAACCAGAAAGCAGAAAAGTCAACCAGAGTGCAGAAAAGTCAAACAAAATGCAAAAAAGTCAACAGTCAACCAGAGTACAGAAAAAGTTGCGTTGAGCGCCAGTTTAGAGCTGAAACCCACTGTTTCACGCCTGAACGCCGCCGCTGAGGGCTAATTCTAAGTGTCGCACTTACCGCTGAGCGTTGTTTGGGCGCTGAGAGCTGTTAACTTGGGCCTAGGCCAATTTTCTGTATTTTTAGTAAACTATATAAGGGTTTAGTCGACATAGGGTTGATATCTTTGGACAGAAAGAGACGAAATTACACTCCTTTCACCCCTTGGAGGCGGATTTTGGATGCAGAAGCTCCGATCTTCAACTGTTAGGGTTCTATCTTTCATTCTTTTCATTATTTTCATCTAGTTTCACCATGTCTATGGTGAACTAAACCTCCATTGTTGTTAGGGAAACAATGTAATCCTTTGAANATACTAATGCTTAACAATATTTCTTGTGGTTTTGTGAATTGTGTTTGATGCAGGGATGATCTCCTCATAAGGTAAAAGAATCAAGACTGTGGGAGCCAAGAGGAAGGAACCAGAACATCCTTATTCTAATAAGTTCCTTTCCCGTAAGATATGAACAACACTTCCTCATTGTCCAAGATAACATGGCCAGAGGACCAGGCACAAGCCAGTAGAGCTGGAGCAGCTGAAGCAGCTGAAGCTCCAGCTTTGGAGGAAGATGATGAGGATGATGATTTTGAAGATGCTGAAGAAGGAGAGGAGGAAGACTCTGATGATAACATGAGTTGGTGAGGATCTGAGATAACATCTACTCATGGATGCTATCAGCACTAGAGCAAGATTTTTCTTATCTTTTGTTTTGTATTATTGAACTTATTTGCTTCTATTTTTAGAATAGGTTGTGATGTACGCAATTTGAAACCTATATCTAATGTGGTGGTTTGATATTGATTTATGTGTGATGAGTATTGGTTGATAATGCTTTGAGATTGATTGATGTTGAGATGTTGCACATGATGCTTGATATACAGGTGATTATTCACAAACTTGTGAACATATGCATGATGTTATGATTGTGGTTATGATGCTAAGCAGGATGTGTATTTGATGTATGCGGAACATGAATTAACTTGTGTGAGGTTTTGAACTCTAGAGTATTTGTTTGAATGATTGCTATTCTTTTGAAAGCATGAATGATTTTGCCCAGATTTCTATGATTGAACTACTTGCTTACTTGTGTCACATGATCAACGCCATTTTTGATTACCCTTTTTCTTAGCCAATGCATGATTTGTAACCAAATGAAAAAGAGCATGAAGTGTTCTATTTTTTTGGAACCTCAAGCCTTAAACAACTCTTTTGTGAAAATCTTTACCTTAAGTTAAGTTGAGAATCATTGTGTGGTATTAATAAAGGTCTAAGTTTGGGGTTGTTGGGAGAATTGAAAAGGAAAGCATTGAGCTAAGTGTTAAGCAAGTATGAAAAAGAGAAAAGAAAATAGAATGCAAAGAAAGAAAAGCTCAATGTAAAAAGGGGAAAGTTGGGAATGAGTGAGATTGGTTTGTCTAAAGAGAGATTGTATTTGAATGATAAATTTATGAATGACTCTCTTAACTCAAGGATTTTGTGATCTTGAAAAATCAATTTTTCTTCTTAGCCCAACCACGTTACAAGCCATAAAAAGTCCTTGTGATGATTCTTGTCTGTGAGTATGATTGATTGTGGTAAATGAAAGGCAATTTTGTTCTATGTGACATTGGGATAGTAGAGTGAAAGAGTGACCTCTATATACACCTGGGTGATTGAGTGAAACACTTTGTCTGGTGAGGAAGAGTTCCATGAATACATGATTACATCTGTGCTTAGTTAATTGATCATTCATGAAGATAACATCTGTGGGATATTATGTGATTATGTGAACATCATGATGAGTGATTATTAATCAAAGCATGTGCACATCTTGACTGAATTCTATTTGATGAGCTGGATTGAGTAATTACTTGTCTTAGAAGAAAGAGTTTTTTAATGTGTTGAACCATTGCATTAGTTGGTGGAAGATTGAGTTACATCTTGTTTGCTTGAGGACAAGCAAAGTTTTAAGTTTGGGGTTGTGATAACGGTTGAAATACCGTTATTTTTATACATAATTTTGATAATAAAGCAACCCTTTTTGACTTAGGAACTTGCTTTAACTCATGTTTTTGCTTTAGTTTTGTGAATAAG